TGGTCCGGGGTCCCTTCCCGCCCTGTGTTGTTGGTCCCCGGTGGCGAGGAACCAACAAAGACAGCTAGCTCATTGACAATAGCCACCAAAAAAATAAAATACTTAGAAATAAAGTTAGCCAAGGATATGAAAAATCACTATGAAGAGAACTACAAACCACTGTTCAGAGAAATTAAGGAGGACACAAGAAGATGAAAAGATATCCCATGCTCTTGGATTGGAAGAATTAACATTGTGAAAATGTCCATATTACCCAAAGTAATGTAGAGACTCAATACAATCCCCTTCAAAATTGCAATGACATTTTTCTCAGAAATGGAAAAAACTATCCAGACACTTATATGGAATAACAAAAGACCACAAATAGCCATAACAATCCTGAGGGAAAAAAATAAAGCTAGAGGCATAATGCTACCTGACTTTAAACTATACTACAAAGCTACAATGACCAAAACAACATGGTACTGGCATAAAAACAGACACACAGATCAATCGAATAGAAATAGAGTGCCAGAAATCAATCCATACACCTACAGCCATCTGATCTTTGACAAAGGTGCCATGTCTACATACTGGGGAAGAGATGTCTCTTCAGCAAATGGTGCTGGGAAAACCGGATATCCATACACAGGAGAATGAAACTAGACCCATACCTCTCACCATATATCAAAATCAACTCAAAATGGATTAAAGAATTAAAAATACATCCAGAAACAATAAAACTCCTTAAAGAAAACATAGGGGAAACACTCTGGGAAGTAGCAGTGGGTACAGACTTCATGAATATGACCCTAAAAGCACAGGCAACCAAAGGAAAAATAAACAAATGGGATTATATCAAACTAAAAAGCTTCTGTTCAGCAAAAGAAACAACCAACAGAGTGAAAAGACGACCAACAGAGAGAGAAAATACTTGCAAAATACACATCTAACAAAGGATTAATATCCAGAATACACAAGGAACTCAAACAACTTCACAGCAAAAAAAAAAAAATAACCCAATTAAAAACTAGCCAAAGGAGCTGAATAGGCATTTCTCAAAGGAGGATACACGAATGGCCAACAGACATGAAAAAGTGCTCATCAACACTCAGCATTTGGGAAGTGCAAATTGAAACCACACTGAGATACCATCTCACTCCAGTTAGATGGGCTAACATCCAAAAGACTGAGAATGATAAATGCTGGTGAGGTTGCGGAGAAAAAGGAACTCTCTTACACTGTTGGTGGGACTGCAAAATGGTGCAGCCTTTATGGAAAATGGTATGGAGTTTCCTCAAACAATTACAGATAGATCTACCACATGACTCAGCTATTCTACTGCTGGGAATATACCCAGAGGAATGGAAATCATCATGCCGAAGGGATACCTGTACTCCCATGTTTACTACAGCACTATTTACAACAGTCAAGAGTTGGAACCAGCCTAAATGTCCACCATCAGATGAGTGGTTAAGAAAACTGTGGTATATCTACACAATGGAATAATACTCTGCTATAAAAAAGAATGAAATACTACCATTTGCAACAACATGGATGGTCTTAGAGAAAATTAAGTGAAACAGTGAGGCACAGAAAGAGAAATACCACATGTTCTCACTTATAAGTGGGAGCTAAAAATAAACAAACAAACAAATAAATAAATAAACAAATAAATAAATGGTGGGTGGGAGAAAAAGACACAACAATCACAACAATTCCTTCAACTTAAGACAAGTGAACAGATATGATGTAGTTGGTGGGGGAGGGGACAGAGAGAGGGGGGAAAGAGGAACAGGTAAAGGAACACAAAAATCTGCTACAATGTACATTGAGAATTTAAAATAAAATAAAATAAGATAAAATAAAAAATAAATAAAATTTTAAAAAATAAAATTCAATGAAAGCAAGGACTTTGTTTTGTTCACTAAAGACACCAAGGGCCAAGCACAGTGTTCCCCAAAAATACATTCTGCATAAATGCTGAATGAGATGCGACAGGAAGCCACACAAAGAGTTCAGTAGTTGTCATTTATAAGTCCTCACACATTTCCTAAACCGTATTTGAGAAGACTAAACAATGTAAACAAGAACAAAAACGTCTTACCTCCTGCAATGACAAAATGGCTCAGGGCATTTTCATTTCGGTACACATTTAGACCAGTGTGCACTGAGCTGGGAGGAAAGGAGAAGGAAAACATAAGGTTCAAAGCATAACCCATTTACCATCCTGACCGCTATTTTCACTAAAGTCACAGGTTTAGAAAGGCCTACTGTATCAACCCCTAGTCTCATTCTAGGCCCCTTCAATATATTCCTGACTGCTAATATGCCTATGGGGTTTCTAGGTGAAGTTTCTCCTGCTGAAGAATGAAGCAAAAAACAATGAAACCTCTGGAATAAACATTCACTTAGAAACACAAAAAGTTTTTTTTGAAGAATTTCTCTTTCTTAGAAACCTTGCATCTATTCTGATCCTAATTGGTAGACCTTCATCATGGATGCCTTTTACATGGATAGACAAAAGTTCTGAAGAAAAAGGCATTATGATTCACTTTCATGTGGATGCTCAGTTTTTATAATCCCACTTGCTCAAAAGATGCACTCCTAAAAAAAATATCAGGATCATCTCTCACAATTCAGAGAACTTACTTGAATACAGTCACAAACACTGTAGTTCTCCAACTCCAGCGCCAGCCATACCGAATGAAGCCTCGTGTGGCAGCACGATGTGCACATTGCTAAAGTTAATTAAAAAAAACTGTGAGGTTCTAGGAGTCCCTCATACTCTCCTTATTCTAAAACTATGGTGGAGCAATGTCAACTATGGATTATTCATGTATATCTAAACAGATAGAAACGATAGAAAATCTCTAGAAGTATCATTCTTTAAGTATTGAGGCTTAAGCAAAAGTCCCATGTACATCCTATTCTATCAGGAGATGGAAGAGGAACTAGGAATCGCCACTGTAAACCTAGTAACCCATCAATGAAGTACCTACTGAGAATCTATGTGGCAACCATCATGACAGACATAAAACCAGTATTAGACATGCTTTTTACATTCGAGAAATCTTGGGGAAAAGAAAAACATAAAGAACAACATCTAAGTAAATGCTAAATTAAAGGGCAAGTATTAAAGTAATACAGATTTGCAAGAGAAGAACAGAGAAAGAAAAAATAATACTTACTGACCACCCTCTATGTAAAAAGTGTATTAACATATTACCTCCTTTAATCTTTACAACATTCTCTTCAGGAAGGTGTTTTAATTTTAACTAAAGCTTAGGAGGAAGTTTATAATCAATATCACCCATCCAGAAAGGAACAAAGTCAGAACTGTAAGATACACTGTCTGTTTCCACAGCCCATTTTCACTAGACCACCATGGAACAAGTTTGGTATAATATCATGAGGTAAAGTCTGGAGTTTTAAAGAATCTGAGAGAATCCCCAAACAGATCCTTAATTACTATGTGATCTTGGGCAAATCAAAACTTCTCTGAGAAGTACTGAGAGGAAAAAAAAAAAAATCTTCTCTGAGAGGTATCAGTGTAAACTCTTGGCTTAAATAGGTAGATAGACCTTGATACAGATGTGTGTACACACACACATACAACACACACTCTTAATTCTGCCTAGGGGATAAAAGCAGTGATACCCAGGTAGTGACAAACACACCTAGCACCCAGATGTTGGATTCTAAATACCATTCTCCACTAAAAGAAACTTGAGCTTCTTGGAGAAATAGCTAATTCCAGGGCTGGTACTGGAAAAGTAAAAGATGAGTCAAGAACGGTTTACTGTGCCAAAAAACAAAGGCATGCTAAAAGAATGATAGGGACTTATCAAAAGGACACAGGCTCTAGCTTAAAGGGATCCAATTGTTCAAATCCAGGTCAATTTGGGTATCAAAATAAATAATAGTAATGGATTATAAACCTATAAAATAAAATAAGAATCCATGAGTCCATACTGATATAAATTATAAATGGATAAATAAATAAGTAAATGGGGAGGAGAAATACTTCCTTAGAGCAGAATACTAACCAATAAATGTAGAAAAAGTGATAGCACTTAGAAAGTGGTTATTTGGGGGCTGGCTGGTCAACTCAGAACATGATGTTGATAACACCAAGGTCAAGAGTTCAGATCCCCAAACTTTGGTCAGAACATGATGTTGATAACACCAAGGTCAAGAGTTCAGATCCCCAAACCAGCCAGCTGCCAAAAAACCAAGAAAGTGGTCATTTGGCAACCACCACAGTAATAACTGTTTCAGGCAAGGATCATCATTGAATGCTAAAACTAGAGGGTAGAAATTTGATGAAAAATAAGATATTTACATAATCTCAAAGGAACTAACAAGTATCCATAAAATTACAAAAGGAAAAAAATAGTAATTCGACAGTGGATAAACCTGGCAGCAGCCAACTTAACCAAAAAACTAAAGTAACCAAGAAACTAAAGAAAACATCACTAGTGAAGGGATACATATTATGTGCTTCTGAAAAAAAAAGAAAAAAAGAAAAAAAAATGTACTCAAAAAGATACAATATCAATTCTAGAGTATTCCTGCTAAAAACATAGGCTAAATCTAATCATGACAAACCATCAAACAAATCCAAGTTGAGGGACATTCTACAAAATAAATGGCCTTTAGTCTTCAAAACTGTCAAGGTCATGGAAGACAAAGACAGACACAGAAACTCTTCCAGACTAAAAGAGACTAAAGCGGCATGACAGGCAAATTCAACATCGGAGCTAGTATTACATCCTGGATGAGAAAATGTATGTTTTTAATTCATTTTTTAGATAAATGATATTAGTGGGACAACTAGCAAAATTTACAGAAAGTCTGCAGATATCAGTACTGTATCAGTGTTTATTTTCTGATCTTGATAATTATAATTGTAGCTATATAAAAGACTGTCCGTTTTTAGAGAATACACACTGAAGTATTCATGTCTATAGCAATTCAGAAAAAAAAAGTACATATTATAGAGAGAGATAACAATAAAGGAAACATGATAAAATATTAACATTTGGAGAATCTGTGTGAAAGGTATACAGGAAATCTTTTTTCCTTTTTTTTGGAGGCTGGCCCGTACAGGGATCTGATCCCTTAACCTTGGGTGTTACAACACCATGCCCTAACCAACTGAGCAACCAGCTAGCCCTCCAAGCTTTTGCAACTTTGCTTTAAATCTGACAAAATTTCAAACAAGAAAGTTAAAAAAACTCTCTGAGCTTTAATTAAATTACTTCACCTATACAACAGAATTCATGTAAATAATGAGTTATATAATGATATAACAAATGAGTTAGCACTCTATAAACTGTAAAGTTATAAATGTTATTATTTTAGTGTGAGCTAGTGTACTCGTGGAGGCTTTATGAATGAGGAAAATATGTTACAGCTGAACCTTGATGATTTTTCAGAGGATTAGAAATGTATTTCAGAAATAAGAGCCATAGCGGTGATCCCAAACTTGCCTGTTGTAAAGATAAGCGGTCTGACAATTAGTACTTCCACTGTTATTAAGTATAGACTTTATTTCTTTACTCTGACATCCTATACCCCTCCCCCAACACCAAGACCTAACTGAACCATTGTTTCCATTGTTATTTAGATTCTCTAACATCCTAACACCATCCCCCGAACCCCAAGACCTACCTGAATCATTAAGTGTAAAGTGAATTGCTAAGTCGCTGTGCCCCCAGATACCTTTAGATCACCAGTACATACCACAGCATCAAACCGGTTATGATAAATCTCTGCTTGACTCTGTTCAATGTAGCGTTGTTTAGCATGAATAAAAGCTGGTATTCCCCCATAAACCCAGCCAATGATGCCTGCTGAAACTGCTGCCCTACAGATATTGTCAAGCTCCTTTGAAGTTCTCTGCTGTTCACTAAAACATCAAAAAGACAATGTTGTTTGGGATTAGTTTATGGATATTGCTCTCCAAAAGACACTATGATCAGAATTACCCCAAATGCTAATACCACAACATTTTTCATTATGGAGAGAAGTGATAAAATCCTTTGCTGAATTAAACAGTGCAGTTATATTAAAAGTAATATAAATCTCAGACAAAACTAATCTATGCTGTTAAAAATTAAAACAGTGGTTACTCTTGGGAAGGCAGTGACTGGAAGGGACACAAAAGTGAGCTTCTTGGATGCTGGTAACAATCTCTAGGTGTTGGTTACACAGCTATGTTCAGTTTGTGAAAATTCATTGATAAGTATACTTAGGTACATTTTTCTAAATGCATATTATACTCTAATAGAAAAATGTTTCAAAGTGTTTTTATTTGATGACCATTACAACTACACCAGACCCCTGGAAACAGGGAGAAGTTGTGAGTTAGATGTAGAGACCAGTAATTCTCTTTCTGAATTTTAAGCTGACTTTTAGAAGTCGCACAAACTCCTAAGATTTTATGGCAATGTACAAAAGAATGAAAACATGGATATTAAAAAAAAAAAAATGAAAACCCTATCTTACTATTTAATTTTTATGACACACTCATATAGGCCTGTACTATACAAAGCATTGGGAAAGCTCACTATCGGCAGCAAAGGCCAATCTAAAACAACAAGGAAAAACTACTGTTTAATTCAATGTATTACACTCAAACACATAAGAAACTAGAACTGCTAATGGAGGTTCTAAGATGTCCTCCTGAAACTGCTCTAAGGAATAGCTAAGTTTTTAAATTTTAAGTTGTTATAAATAATGGCTTTCTAGGTAACTACTAAGTGTTTTCTTACTTACATAATTGCTTTCTTAAGAGACTGTACAAGTGTTTATCTAATTTTCAATAATCACAACATTTCTGAAATAAGAACGAGGGAGTCTTTACAGTTCCTGCATCTACAAGAAAGTTCAAGATCTTAGAAAACTGTAATTCTTAGTTATGTCAATAGGAAAACTGTTATAATTTGAACTTTATTATTTTATCTTTCATAGTGTATAAGACCCCAAACAACATCCACATAAAAACTGGTCTATGGTAGAACTCAGAAAAGAAAAAATGTAAAAGAGTTTAAGATTTAACAAGCCAGGAGATGTATATGCTTCGCCTCTTTTTTATCTCTTTGAATAATTTTATGATATAAGTGATATTTATCTCCATTTTATCAATTTGGAAATAGGGGCTCTAAGAAGTTATACGGTTGGTCCAAACAACTATTGAATGGTGGAGAAGAAAATAACAGACACAGTGGAGGAGTGGACCTAGGCTACAAGTAACAATGGGGTTGTGGTCACTCCCTGCTAACTGAACTACAGCCAGATCACAAGCTCTCTGAACCTTGGTTTCCTCATCCAGACATGGAGGGGAGCACGAAAGTTGCATAATCTTCCAAATTTCTTTCAGCTCCAACATTCTGTGGTTTATAAAGTTGATCAAAATACCCTCTTCTGTTATACACTACATACGATCTTTCACAAATACCTAAAATACTGGAAGGACAACCGAGAAAAGCTGCCTCATTATCTTTAAAATAGACGATGAAAACTAAACAAAGAAATTAAATAAAAGTTTGCCAGCCCACTTGCCTCAACTACCTCAGCAACGTTTCAACTTTTTTTTTTTTTAAAAAGATGACCGGTAAGGGGATCTCAACCCTTGGCTTGGTGTTGTCAGCACCACGCTCACCCAGTGAGCAAACCGGCCATCCCTATATAGGATCCGAACCCGTGGCCTTGGTGTTATCAGCACCGCACTCTACCGAGTGAGCCACAGGCCGGCCCTCAACTTTTAACTTAACCACTTGATAACACGTGAGTATGGTAAATTACTTCACGAAAGGACAAACTTTTCACCAGTAATGAAGAAATAAATTAATAAATGAATTAGATATCCTGAGCTTTTATTAGATAAAATTAATTTAAAGGGTTATCCTTTATTCTGAAATACTGTCTTGCTTATTTTAAAATCTAGCTAATATCTTTCATTTTACAAAATGATGAGACAACAGTTGCTACTATTTTTAATTCCTAATTTGGCAAAATAAAAAATGGACAACTCTCTCTGTCCCACCACTGGGGGATGAGGGAGGGAACGCTACTGGTCATGAAATACCTATGTTTGGCATAAACTGAAATACTAAAAAGAATACTGAAATGGATTTCTGCAGACATGGGTTCCGGGGCCAATTCTGGCACTAACTAGTTTGGTTTAACTCTTCTAATCCGTAAAATTAAGGGCTTGATTGCGCTAAGACTATATTCCCTAAATATCTCTAAAAGATCTGACTTTCAGTGAATCTGACTCCTACCATTTAAAAAGCTGCCTGTAAACCAACAGAACTACCAAATGTCAATGTCAGGCTCTAAGCTTGTAGTACAAATATTACAACCTCAAATATCACTTGAAGATGAACCACAGCACCCCTGGGGTCGCGGCTGTCCCTGGCTGCAGGATACCTCCTTCGCGGCCCCCGCCTCCCACCTCCCACAGACCCTAGGCTCTTTTACTCTTTGACAAACAGCTCCAGCAGGCGGTCCCATCCGGATTCCGGGTAATGGGGTTTGGGGACGAAGGGAGGCAGCTTCTTATCCTCGGCAAGAACCTCCGAATCGGCAGCCACAGCTTCGGCCGCAAAGACTCGGGGGAAAGGACTCAGTACCCTGAAAAGGAGGCTCCGCGGCGCCAGCGGCGGCACTTCCATGACCCTCTCCCGACCTGCGAGAAGACACACGTGGGCGCTCAGAACCGCAGGCCGCAAGAAGGCGCCATGGAAGAAGGTGAGGCTAACTGCACAAGTGAGTGAATATCCGTGCACTAATCTGCGGTCACAACGCTCCACAATCTTGCCCTCAGTGACGGGTGTCACTTTGTAGTCCCTTGGAAACACGAGACGGGAAGCCCCTCCCCTACCAGGGCAAAGGCCAAGGGGTGGGGCGACAGCGCACCACGGCGGAGCCCTAGCTGAAAACGCTTCCGGTTGGGGGCGGGAGGGGCCGCGGCCGCTCCAGGCCCGGGCCCGGAAATGAGTTGGGAGAAAGCAACCTCGCTTTGGCTTGGTACGCAGGCGAGGTCTAGGCCGGGTTATTCTCAGCTTGAGGCGGTCACACGCAGAAGTAATTTAGCGTATTTAAGATGCCAGAAATCCCACGTAAATAAAGTTCAGTGTTGGATGCACTGGAGAACGGAAAAAGGGAAAGGCGATTTGCGCGAAAACAAGTCCCACCCGCCCTGGCACGTCTCGAGGTCTCCCAGGTTGGGCGGGGTTCATTCGTACCCATCAGGTTTCCGAAAGGACGGATGCGTTGGGGATGGGTCTTGGTGCCAGCTACGCTAATATTTTGAGAACGCTTTTGAAGAGTTAGCTTTTGGCAGTTCTTCACAAGGTGGATTTCACTCCCCTTAGTTCATCTGCCTACTGCTTCCCAAAGGCAGAATTTCTGGAATTTCTGTCAAGTGTTTTATTGTTTGATAGTCCATCAGTAATTTCCCGTCACTACAGCCTCTGCTAACATACGCTTCGAGGTATAATTTTCATTGAAATGCACGCACTTAAAATATTTTCAAACTGGTTTGTATAATTTCATAAAATCCTTGTTAGTCACTGAACATATTCCTGTATTCTCTTTGCTAATCCATACTTAACCTCCTTAAATCCTTTCTAATTGTAATTCAAAATTGCTACACTCTTTAGTAGGATACAGGAAATAGAATTCTGGAATTTGACAGCTGAAAATTCTATAAATAAGGCCCAGAAAAGTGACTGAGTGATTATTTGAATTAGTGATAGTGCCACGAAGATGTCTCTGGTGCTTCGGAAACAAAATTAGATTCAGCACCCATCATGGCACTTAATACATTGCATCATGATTTCCTACTTGCCAATCTGTCTCAGTAGATTAACCTTGAAGCCAGACCACAAATAATCATTTCTGATTCTCCAGGACCTTGCATGGGGTGTCTGGCATGTAGTAGGTGTTCAGTAAATATTCGTTGAATGAATTCAGATCCCCTGACTCCTGGCTCTAGGTTGCTGCTTATTCCACATTAGGTAGAGGTGGGAACCAGGATAAGGTCCCAAGGCCTGAAAGCCCAGGAAAATGGCTGTGCAGCCTGCCTAGCCTGCATGTAGAAAAATCTAAATGCTTCCCTTCAGATGACCCCAGGATTCACTAGCCTGTACATACAAATGAGGTCATATTAACAAATTTCACTAACTCCATTGCTGCTTTCTCCTTTGGCAATTGGAGACTGATCCCCAAGATTCCTTTTGCCACCTAGTACTTCAAGAAAGTTCCCAGCCCATTGGCTACTGTACTGCTCACTGTTGCTGCTGTTCCATCTCAGCTCTCTCAGACTGTCACCCTCCCTCATTCATACTTCCCCAAACCCTCAAGGCTTGCCTTCTCTTACCGCTAGGGAATACTCTCCTTCCTCTGTGTCAGCTGTTTTTGAAGGGTCTCAGAGCAACACTGTCTGAGGCAAAAGGTGTTGTAGGGTTTAGTTGGAGCACTCTGTCTCACACACAGCGCTCTTATCCCCAGGACACAGATTGGCCAGCAGAGTGAGTGCATCAGGGAAGGATTTCAGTACAGTTACTACAGTGTGTCTGGAACCACCATTCTCCTACTTTCAGCTCTTGTTGCTGAATTCTACTTATAGAACCTAATAGCTTCTTCCCCCATAGTGAACTTTCTACCAGGGGTCAGCAAGTTCCCTTTCCAAGCCAGCTTCAACAAATACTGCCCAGGACTGGCCAGTTAGCTTGGTTGGTTAGAACACAGCCTTGTAACATCAAGGTTAAGAGTTTGGATCCCTGTACCAGCCAGCTGCCAAAAGAAAAAAAAAAAATACTGCTCTTGCTACATGTACTACTTTTGGTTATGTAATATATGACATGTTTCCACACATACACAGAATAAATTTTGAGAACTTCAAGGACCACTTCATTTACTTATCCTTCAAAGTGTAACTCAATTTTAACTCCACGAAGTTTCCCACCTGCTCCAGTTGGAAATTTCTTCTTCTTCTAAACTCCAAATCCACATCATCTTCACGAATAATCGGCACTTATGTTGCCTTAATCACCTACGATGCCTGTCATCTCAACTCTATCATCTCAACTGCAAAGCTCTTTGAGGTCAGGGAGCCCGCTGTAAACTTTTTATCTTCCACTGTTTGTGCACAAGTACATGCTCAAGAAGTATTTGATAAATATTAAACAAGTAATTTGTAATTATACTCTTCTGTCCCACCCACACAACCTTACCTCTAGATGCAGTAAGATTATTCTGAGAAGGCATCTTTAGATGTACATAAAGGTAGGTTTTTGTGTATGTGTGTCTTTGTAGTCAGTTTAGGGGTGAAGTGTAGAGAAACCTTTGGAACTGATCCAAATAGGCCCATTAATTTTTTTTTCTCTTAGGAATTTTGTACTGTGAGAGCCTGGCAGTCTCTGGAACTGTAGTACAGCAGCACTCTTAGAGACAATCCAAAATTCTTGCTGAGATTCCTGGAGTGCCCTTGTTTCTTCCCTTCCAACCTCTGTGAAACCTGTTTAGATTCTGTGAGATGCCCTAAGTTCTGTTGCTTAAACTAGCTAGAGGCAGTTTCTTGTTCTTGACAACTAGGAGAATCTGACCTGATACAGTAAAGTGAAAACTGACATCACACAGATAATACTTCCAAAATAAAGGAAAAGCATTATTAATGTTACCCAAACATCCCACTTCATTCAAATAAACTAAATTATTCTCTTTCCTTGAAAAAAAGTGCATCCTTTAGTTCTTTGAGGTGGAAAGGGTAACTCTGGGACCAAGCTAGTATTAATGACAACAACCATCTTCAAATCTGTGGGGATACAAGTTATTTTCAAAAACATACATTTTACATATCATTACATACCATCTTTGTACAATCTACACTGAGGTAAAGAGATAAACAAATATAAGATCTAAGTAATATTTGCTATATTTAAAGACAAAGATAAACTTACTGACTCTTCAAAGGGCACGTGAGGATTTGCATTAATCCAATTCTTAGTCTTATTCAATCCCCCTTGGAACCAAGGCCCAGGCAATCTCTAAATAGGATCTAGTTAAGCCAACAGTCTCCATCCATCCATCCGCCCACCCACCTACCCAGCAACAGTTCTTCAGTATTTACTCTTTGCTAGGCACTGTGCTGAATAAGGGAGACATCAAGATGAGTACGATTCCTACCCATCAATAAGCTCACTGAAACAGTTAAGTAACTACAGTGCAATGTGATGTCATATAATACAGGCATGAGCAAAGTGTTATAGTAACCCCTAACTGCCTAGAGGAATGAAAGAAAAGATTCGGAGGAAGAGAAGGTGATGTTTGAGCTGCAACTCTGAAGCAAAATGGGAAACATTCCCATGAAAATAAAACTTCAGTTCCTAATCAAAGGACAGCAAATTTTGTTCCCATTTTAGAGAAATATGTAAATACAAAGAGAATGATTACACCTAGTAGGGCCTCAGAGAGACAAGGCAAAACCACAGCACAACTTGGAAATCTGGACTGCCTATTGCTAGACTCATAGCACCTAAGGACACGGTCCCTGTAAATCGTTAGTACTCCAAAAAAGAAAGAAAAATTCAACTTTACACATGTGTCTGCCTTACTCCATGCCATGATCTCATAAGGGATGTTCAACTTCTCTAAGAAAGACCTTAGACTTAAAATTTTGTGGGAGTTAAAAAGGCCAAATATACTTTGAAAAATGGAATAAAATCTCTTTTTATGTGACTGAATATCACGTTTACTAATTTTGAAACAATACTAAACAGTTAAGAGACAAAGGACAGAGTTGATTTCTCTGTGAAAAGGCTGGGCCTAAGGGACAAGATGGTTCTAAGTGGCTAGACTACATTTTAATCTAAACATTTTTCTTCATTTTTGACTGTTAGGGAGAACAACCTGAGAGATTAAACTACTACTCAAATGTCTCTTTCAAAAAGGGAAAAAAGGAAGAAGGAGGCACTCCAACATGGATTTGCACTAAAACAAATATCTCCTATATAAGTAAGCATTAAAGTTGAATGCTCTAAACTACCAACTTAATGACATGTTCACATATGAAGACTGCTCATGGTCCCTGCGAGACATTGAGAGTGTGGACGACTCCTGCTGCTAACAATTTAAGAAGGAAAATATTAAGGCTGTGCAAAGAGTGAGGAAGAATTGCTGTTCCTTTGTGTACAGTTATGTACAGTTCCTTTAAAGAGGATTACTTCCTAAATTTATTAAGAGGTTTTTGTTTGTTTTTCCTTTAGAGTGACGATAAAAAGGGCATGAAGGCACAAAAAGGGAACGTGAAATCCAATTGCAATAATTACTCATGCAATTGGCCCCTTTCTCTGAGGCATTACAGAAACCTCCTGAGTAACAAAGAGTTTATGCTTTTACAAAAGAGAACTCCTATATCACTGCATGACACAGCTACTGCTTCCTTATACGTTTCAGGAAATGATCCCCAAATATTTTTCACAAACCCAATAGGGTTTCATACATTAAAGTAAAGAAACAGATCAAGCCTAGAGTAACTTCAGAATTGCGGTGGTGAGTTGTAGTAGTTCCAAATGATGAATTATCTGCTCCAAATATTGGGACAAAGGGTATCATCACATGGGCACAGTCAGTTTCACAGTGATGAACATACACATGTGGATGATTTGAGGCACAAGCTGTGACTGGTCCTAAGAAAATGAAAGGTAGAATCAGGTTCAAAATCCACATCTCATAATTTCAGGTCCTTATTCAGCCAAAGAGTTGAGCTGCTTCATATCTGTGTATTATACACATTTTGGATCTTTCTCAAGAGTTGCTCTGGGTGC